AGAATCGCCTTTGTGTTTAGATAGAAATTTGTGATAAGATTGTACCTTTTCCAGATTTGCAATCTTTTTGCTTTTCTTTTCGTTCCATCAACCTTGATTCGCCACCACAACTGTCCAATTGTCCAGCCTCCAATGGTGATCCACACAGAGAATAAGATTGCAGCTTCTAGGGTTTTCTCTTGTGCCAGCAAGAATAATGAAAACCATATGGACCTCAAACCCTAGTTATGTATTTATATAAACCCAAACAGGCTCGGCCCGATCCGGTCCAATAATTAATTAATCCAATTAATTAAACCCGGTCCGTGAATTAATTAATCCAATTAATTAATTCGAAAATATAAATAACAAATCCAATTAATTAATTTATCCAACGATTGTTAAATTAACCAATTGGCAATTTGTAATCTTCCAATTCTCTTTTGTGTGTGACCCATTAGGTTCCCAACCACGATACCTAACGACGTGAAATATTATTTTGATCTAATCAAAATTGATAAATTAAAACACCCTTTTAATTTATCGTCAATTCACATTCACCGTCCCTGATTGACATCTAGCAATGTGTCAGGGCAATACATGTGACGGGAAATGTCACGTGGTATGACAAGACCAAATTCGTTCGTTTACTGTGAAATTATAATCCCTTCATCAATATGATCCAATCAATTACGAGATATGAAGTTGTGTCAATCTCGATCATCGATCATATCTTTCACTCCACTATTAAGTCAATATAAGTCGAAAACTCCTTTTCGACTTATGAGTACACCTTGGCCAAGGATTTCATCATCGACTTAATTGAATGAAACGCAGATCATAATCTCCTACTATCTAAGAGTGACGAATCCTTTATTGATCAATCACAACCTTCATACGATTCTTGACGTACCCGAACGATATCGTATTAGCGGCCCTTTTCAGAGCAACATCCAACACCGCCAAAGTATAACTGTCCTCATATAAGGTACTATGACGACCTCAAGTCAAAGGAACAATTCCACTACCGAACGTTAGAGATTAAACACTGACACTCAGATAGTTATCCATGTGGAATCTCTCGACGGGTCTCCAATATTTTGTTCTATAACATAAACATCCACGTGTTCATTTAAATGTCACCACACTTTAGTTTGTGAGATCAGTTACTTACTTCACAAGTAAGAAATGCCACACGTGATGGTCTATTCGTATCTCGTTATTACTTACGACCACGGATGATTTAAAATTCAATCAGATGTAATTTGTATCTCACAATCACAACTCCTTGTGATTAACAAATTACAAATATTTAAATCTACGGACTCTATTATTTATTTAATTGTCTATTAATTAAATAATAGATCTGCCATTTAATTGCATTAATTATATATAAAAGTATTTATGTCCAAAGTTGATTGGACCTAAGGCATAATACTTACATATTGCTCAATGAAGTCGAAAGACCCTGTTAAGTTCATAAATTTGGGCTTTCATATTTAAGCTGAAATAGGTCGTTGAGAGTTAGAAACTCTAAAATCTATCACACTAAGAGCAATAAAATTGCCCAAAAAAGAAGTCAAACAAGATTTATATAAGTTCACCTCAATGTGAAATTATCTTCATTTGTTGCTACAATAATTCACAGTAATAAAAACAAGTTTACTAAGAAAAAGTAGCACACCCAATTTTCTTTAACATCTCTCTTTTCAATGATTAATACAAATCATAATGATGGTTTACCCTTTAAGATAAAGATATTTGTGCTTATACATTTGTACAAAATGTTTTATTCACTTTCACATATACATGAGCTCCACATGAAATAAAAAATGCCAACATGTGGCTCCCACTCTCCCATTATGAGTGTAAGTAAACCATTTTGTATAAAAGTGTGTTTATCTAGTACTCTTCTGCTCTTTATAAGACAAACTGTTACAAGTGTGAAATTCAAAAACTATCATTAAAGTCGACCCCCCGCTTACCAACTCCACATAACGTCAATGAGCCCTTGTTGGGCTCATTTTAATGAGTTTTTGGAAAAATGTATTTTGGAATAGTATTTTTTTGTAAGAATGTTTTATTAAAAAGTAAGAAAAAGTTTTTGTTTTACGTATAATATTATTTTATTGATTGAAAAATCTATTTATGTCTGCTATATATAGAGTACATTCAATTTGACTGAGTATCTTATTTAATCCATGTTGATTTTGCTAAAAATAATATTCTTGGTAGATTTTTTTATGAAAATTGACAAAATGTGTGATTGAAAAGCAAATAAAAGTTGTGAGTTTTCTAAAATTTACAGTTAAAAATGAGTCTAGAAAAAAATAGGGTCAACGAGGAGCTTCGAATCATCATCAATTCTTTGATGCACTCGACTTCCTCTTTTTAGTGTCAATCCCTTTCAACTTTTGAAGTTCTCCATATAGTTTCCAACATATCTCCTTTTGCAGTGGTTCGAGTAAATAATCGCACCACATCTTTGTCTTTGTCCAGATTTTTTTCTCCATTTATCTTCCTTAATAGCAACCTTCGTACCATCGAAGCTGAATTCTCAACGTAGCTTTTCTCGAGCCATAATAAAATTTCATTCAACAATGACCCCCCCCCCC